ACGCTCTTAGTCATATGGTTTAGTGTTAGGGAGTTCTGCAAGGAGCAGGGAGTTGGACTCCATGATCCTTATGGGTCCCTTCCAACTCAAGATACTCTATGATTCTAGAAGGATGGACAGATGGATGGAAGGATGGATGGAAGAATGGAAGGATGGATGGATGGAAGGTTAGACGGATGGATGGGTGGACAAAGGATGGATGGATGGACAGATGGAAAGGACAGATGGAAGGTGGATGGAAGGATGGAAGGATGTATGGATGAATGGGTGGATGGATGGATGGATGGATGGAAGGATGGACAGATGGCTCGATGACAGATGGATGGGGACAATATAAAATTCTTCAAGTGTGTGTGAAGATAAGATGGGTTTGGGAGCAGGCAGGAGGCAGGGAGAGCCTGCAGCAGCCCCAGGCCAGGGGTGGATAGAGAGACTGGAGGTGGAGACGGTGAGGTTCCTGGTGAGCCCATGCCTGGTGTGTCCCATGGCCCCGGTGCTTCCCCACGAGTGAGATCCTGTGGCATTGCCCGCACAGCCGTTGCACGCATGTCCCCTTTCACCATCATGAGGACACAGCCAGTCCCCATGCAGATGGTGGTGTGGGACCTGTCCCACCCTGCAGCCTCCCTGTGCCATGGCAGCATGTGGGGAAACTGAGGCAGGGACCGGTCCCAGCGCTGGCAGCGGGGGGGCCAGATGTTAACCCCTTGGTGTCTCCCACCGCTCTGCAGAAGGCAGTGGGTGGGAAGAAGGACCGCTCCTTCTTCCTTTTCACGGACCTGCTGGTGTGCACAACGTTGAAGCGCAAGTCAGGCTCCCTCCGCCGCAGCTCCATGAGCCTGTGAGTACCACCTGGGGGGCATCCACCATGATTAACCCACAGCGTTAGGGCTGTCCCCACCGGCTGAGCTGTCTTTAGGGTGCTGGGGACATGGGTGCAGCTCAGCCATCCCCCCCAACCTCCCAGGTACACGGCAGCCAGCGTGATCGACACCGCCAGCAAGTACAAGCTGCTCTGGAAGCTGCCGCTGGAGGACGTGGACATCGTCAAAGGTCTGTCTGCTGGAGTGTCCCATCCCACCCCAAAACTCATTGCTCACCCCTGGCTGGAAGGGAGAAGGTTCCCCTGCGCGGTGCCAGGGAGGAAGATGTTAACGCCATGTGCGTGTCCCCACACAGGTGCCTCGCAAGCCACCAACCGGGAGAGCATCCAGAAAAGCATCTGCCGCCTGGATGAAGACCTCAGCACTTTGGGGCAAGTCAGCAAGCTGTCGGAGACCCTCAGCTTCCCCCACCAGGTATGGAGATGGTGGCCCTGGTGCTGTCCCCTGGCTGGACACATTCCCGGTGGGACCACATGGGATGTCCTCAGTGAGAGGGAGAACCTGTGGAAGGACTGGTGGCCATGAGTGTCCTCAAAGGACCCAGATGCCACCAGCCCTAACGCCACCAGGAGGGTTGGGGCAGCTTCTGAAGGATGCTTGGGGATGCACAGGGTCAGTGTCACATGGTGGCCCTGGTGCTGTCCCCCGGCCAGACACCTTCCCCAAGGGACCAACTGGGATGTCCTTGGTGGGGAGGAGAGCCTGTGGAAGTGCTGGTGACCATGAGTGTCCTCTGAGGGCCCAGATGTCACCAGCCCCAAAGCCACAGTGGGGTTGGGGCAGCCTCTGAAGGATGCCAGGGGGTGGATGGGGGCATCGTCAGGCATGTGGCTGGTGGTGGCCCATCCCTGAGAGCTGAAGCATTGTCCCCGTCCCCAGAGCCTGGATGACGTGATCAAGGACCTGATGGCCGCCATCCACCGGGAGCTGGCAGAGAAGCAATCCCTGTCCTTCAGCATGGCCTTCCCCCCCAACAAAGTGGAGCTCAGCACCACCAAAGCTGACGGCACCGAGTCTTTCATCTTTGAGTTCCCCAACCCTGATGCCCGGCTCGGCTTTGAGCAAGCCTTTGAGGATGCCAAGAAGAAGCTGGGTAACCCCAGGGACTGGGGAGATGGACACAGTGGTGGGCTTGGCATCATTTCCCCTTTTCTCCATCACTTCTTCATCCTCCAATTTGATTTTCCCAGCTTCCAGCAAAAACTGCCTGGACCCGGAGTTCCTCAAGGCCATCCCCATCATGAAGACGCGGAGCGGGATGCAGGTACTTGGGGGCTGGGTTCAAGCATCCCATGGGAGCTGCGGTCCTCTCCATCCTGGTGGGCTTGCCACTGGATGCCAAGAGCTCCTGTGTCATTCCCAAATGACCCAAATCATCCCATCTTTTGCTTCCTTGCAGTTTTCTTGTGCTTCTCCCAGCCACGGCAGCCCAGAAAGCTCCCACGAGGTTTGGGTTTGCAACAGTGATGGTTACGTGGGGCAGGTTTGTTTGCTCAGCATCCGTAAGGAGCCCACGGTGGAGGCATGCATCGCTGTCTGCTCCGCCAGGATCCTCTGCATCGCCTCCGTGCCCGGTCTCAAGCGGGCGTATAGGTAGGACATTCCCACCGGCACCGCGGAGCCGGCGGGCACGGGGCGATGCTGGAGCTGCTTCTTTCCC